CTACAGTGAGAGACTGCGGGACCTGAACCTATTCAGCCTCCACAAGAGAAGGCTAAGGGGGGACCTGGTGACTGTCTATAGACTCACTAGGGGGGACCAGAGGGGTTTGGGGGAGACGCTGTTTCCCCTAGCGCCCGCTGGCATAACAAGGAGAAATGGGCACAAGCTGTTGGAGAGGAGGTATAGATTGGACATCCGCAAAAACTACTTCACCGTTAGGGCGGCTAGGAGCTGGAACCAACTTCCAAGGGAAGTGGTGCTGGCCCCTACCCTGGGGGTCTTCAAGAAGAGGCTGGATGCCCACCTAGCTGGACTCGTTTGAGTCCCATTTCTCTTTTGGGGGTTTTTGTTGTTCTCCCGCCCTGGCGGGGGGTCGGGCTAGAAGATCTACTAGGTCCCTTCCGACCCTAAATCTATGAATCTATGAATCTATGAATCTATGAGAGTAGGTCCCAGTTTCTAGCTTGGAGCTTTTTCCTAACGGGACAGAAGTTGCCACCCTCTATTGTTCTCTATCTAATGACTTTTGAATACAAGTTTCAGTTACTCAGATTCCAGAGCATCGTTAGATTACCTATGGCATGGTGGTGAGATCATTGTGCTGGGAAGCCGGTGAGCTGCAATTGCAAACCCTTTCCCTGTAAGGGACAAGCATTACCACTCATGAGCTACTGGGGCTAAACCATGGGAAGTTCCCCTGCTTTTTCCGGGACTTATGCTTCCCAGCCACCCAATGTGTAGCCTAGCATGTATTTTCAGTCTACACATATATGTTTGTATGTGTCTCACTTCAGGAGAGTGGCCAAAGCACTATTTACAAAGCTAGAGAATTGCCATTTTGAAGTGGAAATGGCAATAAAATTTGGCCCCTAGTGTCCTTGATGAGGACTGTTGGAGAGCAAAACCTGCATCAATGCTGAAAAATCACAGTTACGTACAATAGATGACAACTGATAAGTGATTCAGCATGAGTGTAGAGCGAGATTTTAAAAAATGGTACTTTGGTGTGCATACACAGAGATACACAGAGATATCATGCCCCTAGACACGGAGAAAACTGTCCCTTTTCTAATCCATTATGGTCCAAGTGAACCTAGATGTTAGGTCTGATCTAAGTGCCACAGAAATCACTCAAAAGACTCACATCGATGTGAACTGCCTTTTTGATAAGACCACTATGAACGTTCAGGTTTTGGCAACCTGTTCCAGGATATATTGACATTTTGGAGGAAGTTCAAAGAACAAACTGGTTGGGAGGCTGGAGGGTTTGACTGATGAGGCAAGATTAAATTCAATACATGGGGTTTTTTTTTGCCGAGGGAGGGATAACTGAAGGAGGACAATTTTTTACAAATATTTGAATGGTCTAAGCTCCTGTAAAGGAAAGGAGGGATTTAACATTATGACAAGAGATAAAAGTGTGAGTAATGGTGTGAGGTTAGGATGTAGAGTGAATATGGGGAAAATATTTTCTTCTGAGATGAACTATTCTGTAGCATTACTGCCCAAAAGATTCCCTTCCTGCTCTCAACAGTATAACTTGGGATGGTGAGAAGGACACTCGCCCAAGCTGGGACAGGTGTCAGCATCACCTCCTATTGCTGTGAAGTCTGTATCTCAGCAGCAAGAGCAGCTCCATGGCTGACCTGTGCCAGGAACTCCAAAACAATCCCAAAACTGAAGCACCTCCAGGGCCGAATTAACCCTTCAGTGGGTCCTAGCCAAACAAACTTGTAGGCCCCTACTTAATAATGTATATTTATATCACTTTTTTCACTCAATAATTATAATATGTAAAATAAGCACAGCTGGGCCCCTTCTTCACTTAGGGCCCTAGGCATGTGCCTAGTTTGCCTATGCATGAATCCAGCCCTGAGTAACCCCAATACATTATCTACCAGTCACTTAAAAATCTAGGTCCAAGACTATTGGTTTTAAAAAATAAAAGTTGCTGCTTTAAGAACAACAGATGGGGTGGATAAAGTGTGCATCAGCAGTACTATCAGCAGCTCAGACAGGACAGCTTAGGAGTTTCTGGATGGGTAAAGCGGCTGTGCTTCCCCCTGCCTTGGTCTTAGCATCATGTGCCTCTTCTCTCTGTCAGAACCACGGCCTCCTGCCATGCTCCCTCAGGGTTTGCCCAGGGTGCAACTCTGCTCTGATTTTTCACATTACAAAGGGATCTAAGCTCCTAAAGAAGTAACTGAAACCCAGTTGCTTTGCATATTTCAAAGTGTTCATATTCAGTGGGGATCAACTCCTTGCACTGGAGTACTTGAAAAATCTAAAATCCCTTTTTAGCTTTAGAATCTAGAATGATCCCCGTCCTTTTAAAGACAGAAAATTTTAAAGTATAAAACCAGAGAAAGAGAGAGAGAGAGATAGGTATAGGTATATATAGGTAAGTGTGTGTATGTGTGTGTGTGTGTGTGTGTGTGTGTGTGTGTGTGTGTGTGTGTGTGTGTGTGTGTAGTTATTTCCAGGGTTTTATAGCTGAATACCCTTTTCCTCAAGTAAACTACCCACTTGATTGGATATGCAGATTGTGAACGCCTTGTTTATATTATGAAAAAGAGTCGTTTGAAATAATTAATACAGCAGTTAGGCATTGTATGGAAAAGTTGCGCTATCTTCTGTCGCAGCAAGCCGTCTGGTGCAAGTCCACTGACGTCACTGTAAAGTTTCACTGCTCAGCATTTACCAACTGTTGTGTTTTTTTCCAGAAAAGTTGTTAAAAAATCCTTGGTTTTCAATTAGACAATCAGACGATTGTCTCCTGAAAAGGGGAAAACATTCCAAACAAACTAAATAAGAGGTTAAAGATTTTTGGAGGAAATGTAAATGTGGCATTTATTTAAAAAAAAAAAATGTCAAAAAATTCCCATTAATGGTCCCCCCACCCTTCTTTCCACCAGCCAACAATAACCTGATCACAAAGGCATTTCAAGTCTGATTATTTGCAACCAATCGTGTGTAACTCTGAGCCTATTTAAGGGCATCCAGGAGTGTGAATTGAAAGTGTAGCCCACCGGTGAATGTTGGTGACAGGGCTATTCCAACCCCTAGAAGATATAAAGTTGTTATAGCTCCCAGTTACAGAAGCTTGACTTGTCAGCTCATGCTGTAACATCTTGTACATTTGGATCTGGACATCCTCAGTTCAAACCTTGTGGAGTGTGGCCTAGGTGTGAACTCCCTTGAATATACTTGATGGTCCCTTGCCATCCTCTGTTCCTAAGGGCATACCTTTACCACCTCTAACCAAGTTAAGCAGCACTGTTGTGGAAACATATCTCATTCATTCCCTCCTGCAACATAGCCATCATTTAAGTAGCATAGGGCATGCCCAAAAACCCGGAGAGCAGTGCTAGGCTTGCTGTGCTGTATTCTGGGAGAAGGCATTTGGTATACATTGAGCAGGAGGGAGTGAGCAAGGCATGGTTTAAACCTCTCTAGGGCATCTCCAGGTCAGGTTTCAAATTTTCTATGCCAGTTCAGAGTAGAGTCCCCTGAAGGCTAGCTGAATTGGGAAGATAGCTAAAAGGGAACAAACACAATCTGGAAAGAAAATTGCACTTCTATGCCATGTTCTGATCCCAGTAAGGTTTTAAGAAAACAAATGTGTGAAATGCAAAATATCAAAGGAGGAAAATAATTGGGGTTTTGCCACCCACTCATCTGTTACTATAAAATAAATCATTAGCAGGAATTCAGCTCCTGCCAGCATCCTTTTGTCTTCAGCTTTCTTGTTTCGAGCTAAGACACAATAAACAGCAGTAGGTGGAATTTGAGTCTTGGGGAAGCACGGAGCTGGGTGGTGTTTACAGAGCAGGGCAGAGGGGTGCTTGGCCCCTCCCCATGTATTTCTAGGTGTCTCCTGCCCAGTTATGATCCTTAGCAACATTGGTTGGTTGAGTCCCATGCCACCCCTAAAGCAAGAAGGACCTCCTGGCTAGCCATAGACATTCAAAAAGCCCAAGGAAGAATCAGCATCATGCAGTTTTCTGTAAGTGGCATAGTTTAGATCCGTAGTGAACAGACACATTTGCCCTTTGATGAGGGGTCATGCAGGCTGCCTGTGTAGGCCTAGACCAGCAGGTTGGGGGCACTGCTGCAGGCCTCCAGGCATGCCCTGCAGGCTTCCCAGGCTGCCAGAGATTGCTGAGTGCAGACGAGTGCCCAGGACACCCCTGACTGGTTGCCAGTCAAAAGTGATCATGCCCCCAAACCCTCTGCCATACTACCTGTCATCCGCAGGCACCTGAGAGCCACAGAGGCAGGTGGCAGAATTGGGGAAGGGAGGCATTTGTTTTCCCATTCATAAGCCTCAGCACCTGGGCGCCTGTGTCTCCAGGCCATGTCCCTGCACCCGGTCATGCAGCACCAGACACAGAGCCCAGGAGAGCCCCTGTGCTTGGGAGCAGCCACATGGAGCCCACCTGTGCTGCCGGGCATGGGAAAGCATGGGATGCAGGCAGACAGGGACCTAACTTGATTCGGTAGGGCAACTGGTACTGAAGTTCAATGCACCGCTCAAACCTAAATCGGTTCATTCTGATTCCACATAGATCCAGGTCCGTCTTAGATCAGGTTTCGAGCAGTCTATGTCCCCTGAACTTCTGTTCTGTTACAGGTTTAAGCGGGTTTCCAATCACTTAGACTGGTAAAGGTGTAATGTCTGTACCTGGCCCATGTGTCACAGTGCCTGAAGGACCAGGCTGAAGCAGGCATGTTCATTGATACTTTCCTCACTGAAAGAAGCCATGGTAAAGCTGGTGAGGTCCAGCAGCTTGAAGCAGTTGCAGTGCTTCCTCCAGGAAAGCATTCTGTAGAAACGGAGACCTTTGCCACATCTTTCACACACCTATGTGATGTTATAGATATTATTTGTATTGCAACAGCTCCTAGAATCCTTAGAAGAAGTCAGAGTCCATTTTACAAGGCGCTGTATGAGTAAATAGGAAGAGATATTCACTGACCCTAAAAACTTGCAATTTAAATGTGAAAAAAAGAGAAAAGGAAGCACTT